CTTGGTGGTAGCACTTGAATGTTTTATTATTGTACCTTCTGATAAGCATTCCACCTTGCTCACGCGCCACTTTTCTACTCTGCAAATCTTAAGGGAGGCTTTGTTGCAATGTGCTCCTGTGCAACCAGCCTTCGCCGCACCGATGAACACCAACCCATGGGAGTCTCCGATTTTGCACCTTGATCTCATGGAGATGCAGTCAGGATGCCCGAGGGATGTTGCAGCCACTGCCTCTGTGTCCCTCTCGTTCTTGGCGGATCCATCGTGGCTGCTACAGGAAGCAGAGAAAGCCGAGAGGCCGCTGTTCAAGAGGATGGCTGATCCCTGTTTGGATCCTTGCAGCCATTGCGCCAATGCGAATACTTCGCGCGGTGGGGGCTTCCCTCAGACAAGCTTTGCAGAGCCCGATTCAGAAAAGTCCCCCGACTCCGAGTACAAGACATGCGAGGTACCATCTTATTTGTACAACAGCTGGTCACCGCACAACGGCCACTACGAGGCATGGGCAGAAGCGGCATCTCCTGCAGGGCGTGCGGAACACTTTGTGTGGCCAGGACGCTTGTGCCCATGCTCAAATTTGTTGCCAGTCCGGCCCACTTGCATTGACAGAATGAAGGAACACACGGTCTAGCAGGGAGGTACAGAGGTCGTGAAGAACTTCCAGTCTCATCACTTCTGCTTCACATTCCGTCCCGCACTTCCCAAGAAAACTCTTGATTTCTTTCCGATGTTGACTCGTAGGCAGCATGGTTGCAAGGAGCCCGGCCGCGGAGCCGTGATGCCGAAACACTTTGCACTACCGGGCTCAGGGGGTTCAGTGGCGGGAAGCAAGGCTGGATGGCAAAAACTTACAGCTGCTCAAGCACTTTGCTTTGGAATCACGTGACTTGAATAAAAAGGTCTTCAGAAGCCCCAACGTGGGCGGAGTGGCTTGGGGCCTTCGACTTCGCTGCCGCAACCCCTGGTCGTCAAGCTAAGGCTGCAGCAGCCGGTGTTTTGGTCTGAAAGAGCATTTGCTTTCACACTGACTTTCCCCAAGTCGTGCTGCTTTGTGGTGGCTTTTGCATGCGCTGCTGCATACTTGTAGTGACTACACAGCTTTCGTGCAACGGCTTTTTGAATTTGAGGTGCCTTCTCCACGGTCTGAGCTCGCTGATGACTTTGCAACGTGACTGCGCGACACATCCCCGTCAAGCTTGTTAATGCCGCAATGTCTCACCTGGACTCACCAAAGTGCCACACTTAGAGTTCGGAAACTCACCCCAGACATGTCTAGAGCTGAGCATACTTGAGAAGAGAAGGCAGCGCCCGCACTCCTTCTTGCTTCTGTGGCTGCGATGCAAGGCGTTAGCCGCAGGAGCATGATCACATGATGGGTGAAGATGAACCTATTCATGAACTTGTAAAGAAGGAAGGTGAGTGGCAGTCAGCAGTGGAGAACTTCAAGTGCACAAGCCGTCTATTTGTAGAGTTGAGCCCACATTATCCCCACCTCTTCAAGACCTTTTGTCCTTAGTAGTCTAGTAATAGTACCATGACCTCCCTAGCACGATCTTCCTTAGGGCTCACTTGCCGCGTGCTTCTCAGCTTTAGCTTCAGAGGTTGCATGCTTGGATGCATTAGAAGCGTTCTTTGAAATCCGCCAAGGTTCCATTGCTGGAAGAGGGCATGTGACTGTGCCTTCCAAAGTTATGCAAGGACTTCATTAAGCCCTCCGTAGCAGTTAGCAGGGGTATCTTGCTTGGGAGCTGCCCCAGGACTTTGCTCGCTCGTGATAAAGAGACGGGCAACCACGACGAACCTTGTTCGGTGTTCCTGGCAAGCTTTGTCTCAATGAGCAAAATGCATGCCGTTGCACACCTTGACGAGCGGTGTGAGGCCGGGCGAAGTTTGGGGTGGACCAATCGCTGAAAAAGTTGGTCGACACCCTAGCCCAAGCTGCATCGATGTTCAGGTCCAAGTCGTTGGTCCGAGGATCAGCGCCATTGGATTTCGGAAGCCTCGGTTTCGAGTATGTCCCAACAAAGTCACACATCCGCCGCAGCCACAGTTGACCATCACGACATCACGGCCAATTTCATATGACGCCAGCAGCGCGGGATCATGTTGCTATGAGCCAAGGCTTTGTGAGCCTTGCATGTTTGTTTTAGCGGGCCGCTTGTGGAAAGCTTGCAGGCGTGCTGTCTGAAGTATGAGGATTGTCAAGCGTGGCTTTTGCTTTGCTAAACGCCGCTGTATATGCCAGACATGGAAGAATGGAGAGTGGAACGCTGGTCACACGTTCCGAGACCCGTGCTATCCTTACAGCTTTGAGCGCATGCGCTGGCTCGCTTCGTGATATCTGCATCATGCAGCGCTGGAAGAGGTACTTGCCTGTTCACATGCTTGCCAACGTCTTTCATTATGGGCAAGCTCTCTTTGAAGGCTTCAAAGGCTGGGAGATGCTACGATGGGTAGTTTGGGACCTTCCTGTATGTAATTCACGTGAATGGCAGGCTTTCACACAAAGCAGGGAGACGTGTGTCTATTTGCAGACAGGTTGCAACGCCCTTAGTCCTTGCTTTTCACAGCGAGAAGCTTCTGAAAAAGACGCTCGTGCCTCAAGGAGCTGGGCCCGCATGAACCATGGGTGTCGACGCTTTCGAATACCGGAGGCAGCATGGCTTCGTAAAAATCTGCACCTCGCCGATCGTGTCTCACCTTATGCAGCTAGCGGCTAACATCTTCCCCGACGTATTTGCACTTGAGTAGTTCACTTTCGTTGCACACTCCACATCTACCTGGCCTACACCTGCCTCTGCATGCTCTTTTGTCCTATACCTTGGAAATCCTTGGAAGGTGCCTGTGCAAGTTTGGGATCGAGCTGTCCATGATGTGGTCCCATGCTCATCAGAGCAGCGACCAGTGTCGAGTAAATCCTAAGTTCTTGACCGCAACCAGCAGTGCTGCTGCATTGTGAAAGATGAATGTAAGAATTACCTCTGTCAACCCACTTCCAGTAGTTTGATGTTGTCACGAGCCTCGCACAGTTGTTCCAGGAATCCATTTCAAGCAAACTGGTGTTCAGTCTCGGGCTGAGGTCAAGGACAACATTGCCTACGTGCCTTCATATGGTGCGCAGCACATTGCTTTCATATAGGGCTTGCGCCTTATGCGTTTCCCGAAACTCCACACTCATTCAGTGGGATAGAGCGAACGGGAAAGTTGCCTCTTGCGTCTTGCGGTAGTTGTCAATTTGGTCGCACCCTGCTTGGCAAAAACACAGCTGCTTGTCCTCTCGTGAACGTAAGGAACTCTTAAGCAATCATGTCTGGCAACGCGCAATCTCCGCCATTTTAGCTATCATAGCATTGCAAAGGTCCTAAGGCCTAAGGTAACATGACACTTCTCTGCAGTTCCCAAGGTTGACCCGTAACAAGCCGAGGTCATCCTACAGTATTATGTTGATATCGTACCTCTTTGACTCAAGTAGGGTTGTTACAAACACTTCTATGAATCCTGTGCAATTCCCTTACAATCCCTGTAATGTGTCCAAAACCGGGCCCACACTTAAGAATGCCTCAGGTACAAACGGTGCGCTCTACGTCCGCCCCTTCATTTTCGGGAGCGGCCCTAGGCGGGGCATGTCGAGTTTAGTGATCAGTGTGGGGGGAGAGACATGGAAAATAGACCTGCCTACATATACATGTCTTCGCACACAAATATGTTACATGTGTGTGCGTGTTCTCCACGCCTACCATTTTTGGCAGCATTATTTCCAGACCTCTAGATCTTCAGATTCCGAGAATTCCAGACTTTCAGACTGCCAGAATGCCACAATCCTGAATTCCGGAAATCAGTTCGGCTCAAGGCGTCTCGAATGACAATCCACCTCCGTCACTCAAAAAGCGTATCTACCGACATCATCCGAAGCCGAAGCCAAAGCCCGGTCCGTGAGCTCTGAGAAGTCTCCGTAAATTTGCTCTGCAAACTTATGCAGACCTGGAAATGATCTTTGCATAACCCCCAAACAAACTACTTGCAGCGTTCATATGGTTTCCAGACAGTCAGCCACGTCAGGCTCATGCGACCTCCATACCACAGAGGGCTCTAATATGTAGGTTCGATGGAAAACATGCAGGCCTTGTCTTTTTGATGAAGAAGCGTCATAAATCATACTTTTTAGGGAAGCTTGCTAGATATCCTCATGGTGCTCGTTGGGAGTCTAAAGCAGGAAATGAAGACACCAGAAAGATTCTCCCGATTCCTGGTTACAGTTCCGAAGCAAAAGCTTTCCCGATACAAAAAACCTGGTTAGGAACGTTCTCCCGCACAACGTTAAGGGGATAGTACAACCCTTCTACTATGCCAGACTGCACACCGGCCGTTATCAGCATTTTGTGTCTCAAGTTGAATTTGATTAAGGATCTCATGCGAGATTTTTTGTTGAAGGTTGCATTAGACAAACATCCCTCATTGAGATCTCTATCTGGTGATCCTCACTAGGAGCTTTTCGGATTGGCAATGAGGAATCTTGATTCGAGATCAGTACAACAGTTCGTTATCTCATGTTGACTTTTCATTAAGGCATCTTATTCAACATCCCTGGCTGAAGTCCTTACTAGTAGGGCTCTAACTTGAACTTCCGCTGAATCAAGTTTATTGAGAATCCCCATAGCCTCATATGGAATCTTTGCTTGGGATCCATATGTCACCTGGGGTTGTCCTTGAAGAGTTTGATTCAAATCCTTCTGAGAGGTCCTACTCGGAGTCCTACTTTTACTAAGAGTTCCTCTAGGTCAATTTTCATAGACATCGTGGTTAATGAGCTTTATTCAGGCTTCTTATGGATTAGGGATCAAGGTGTCACGTGAAGTTCTCATATCAGAGGTCCTCATTAGGAGTTTTATTCAAAGTTCCAATTAAGTCAACTTTAGTGGGGACCCTGATTAAGGAGTTTCTTTGAGGCTACGCACCTGGACATCTGGTTAATGGTCATTATTTGAGCAAGGATTTGTATGCGGGCATCTTAATCCTGCTTATCAGGGAGCTTCATTGAAGTTTCTTGTTAGCAACACCTATCTAGAATCCGCAGTAGCGTCCTTGTGGGGAGACGTACTAATTGCAAGGAGTACCTGAGACAGAGAGGCTAGACAGATAAGAAATGCAGGTTCTGGGGAGCAAATACATCGCAAATGTCGGTTTTGAGGAGTAAGCAGATAGTAAGACGTATTTTTTTTTCTCGGGGGGAGGGAGGGGGAGGCGGGGGGGGGGCACCATATTACGCTAAACCTTTGGCACTTGCCGATGAAGATCGCAGCAGTGTTGAAGTGTGCCTGGCAAGTTGAAGCGTCATGTAAAACGTAGGTTCCGGAAGGGGTGCGGGCACCAGATATTTATGTATATATATATACACATAACACTATAACTCTTTCCATGGTCCTAAGTCCTAGACCTCTGAATATGTTTCCAGCTTGCAGAGGCTAGGCCTGGGGCCCTCTCCGGAGTACACCTTCGTGGTTTTTGTGAACCCTGCCTGGCCCCTGGAGCTGGACAATAGGGTGTAGGGTTGGCGAATTTGTGGTCCTTGTGCAAGGGTTATAGGGATCGTATAGGGGTACTGTGTAAGGGAGATACAGGGTTTATAAGGATAAGGGCTTAGGCTTGTCGGAATTATGGTCCCCTTTTGGGAACCTTCAGAATTCGGGATCGCATGCACAATGTTGACAGCCTACCAGATAGGGTAGGTTTTTTCTATTCTGGTTTGTAGTGATGCTTTGTAACAGCAATTCAGCATCCAACGTTGCTGGATGATAGACTGGCTTCAAACATCCAGGATCCAGAACATGTGCTGTGTCAGTCAGGAGAGCTTCCATGGTTGCATGCCAGCGTGGTTTGCCTTGCTTGAGTCGAGGTGGGCAGCTATTACAAAAACGAAGGTGGAGCAATGCAGGTGCATCATCACGATGTAGAATGCAGTTTCGATCTTGCAGATGGTGACATCCCAAAGTACCTCTAACTGCATGCGCTTGCCTAGACTGCCGTGGAGGCAATGTCATGCAAGTACCAGACCTTCGCCAGGCTTTGGATGGGCTTGTGAACGACTCCTATGACCGAGCTGCCCCACTTGGGCAGCATGGCTGCACGACAGAGGGTGTGGCAGACCCAGAGCAAGAGAAGCTTACAGATGTGCCAGGTGTGGCGACTGCAAAGCCGCGGGAAACTATGCAGCCGACCTGGAGAGCATGTATGTGTCGAAGAGGACCCACGGGGTGCCCGTGTCTTCTTCCAGGTCTGAAAATGCTTTGTACTCTCAGGATGCGGTGTGTTCTGACACCAGGAAGGGCTATCCCATCAGCCTGTACCTGGATGCTGTGGAGAGACGATACGTGGAGGAGTTCAACACCTCCAACTTTGTGGCAATCACCAAGGACTTGAGCACGCTGAGGTTACACCCCGAGATGAGATTTGCGAGAGCAAATCGGCCAATGCTACCTACTGCAGGATGGCAAATACATCACTCCAGATGCTCCACGGAGTGTTCTCGACAGCAACACAAACAAGGCAACAGTAAAAGTCAAAGCTTCGCTGTTTGCATGCTTTGAGTACAGCATGCGTAAGTGTGATGTCAAATCATTCCATTAGGTAGTACATCTGTTTTGTAATTGAGCAGGTGCTGCTTCAGCTGGCCAGTGACATGTCCATCCCGGTCGAGCCCACATCTCAGAGCTTGGGATGGAAGGGCAGGTCCCAAAGTTCCGAGCTAGCTAGATGGTCCATCAGCTTTGATAGAATGCAGCCCTCCAAAATTGCCCGGGGCACTTGGCAACTTCTACAAGCATTCAGAATTCAATTGGATTTAGAATTCGTGCGTTTTAAGTGGAGTCTTCAGTTTGTCTTGGCAGCCAAGGGCAGGAAGAGACCGCCATAAGCGCCTTACACCAGCCCCGACCAGGATCTACAAATTTCAACTTCAACTTGATGCGGTAGTAGATGCAACGTCTCATCACCTCCCAAGAAAATCATTAGGGCTGTAGAGTCTCTCACATGCTTCAGGCGCCGCCGCATAGACTTCGAAGCTGAGGTCCGAACATGCTGGCGATCGGGGGCTGGGGCAATAGTTTGTCCGAAGAGACGGGTGTGGGTGTTCGGATTCATGAATTGCGAAATTCAAGGTTACTTTAAAGTGCGAGGCCCCTATTGCAGGTGGCCACATGGATCGCAGGAACTCTAGCTCAGCTCACGAAAAGCAGACCATCCCGCGATTCTCCGCGGATCAAATCTGGCGACGTGCTCCAATGTTCTGGATTAACACCGCGCTCGTCCCACAAAGCTTTGTCAGCCTCCCCTCTCTCGGCCCGCCTCCAGGTGGACAACTTCGCAGAGGTCGGTGCTGTTGGAACTGCAGTCGTCGTCACGCCCATCCGGCGTTTATCTAAGATTGACTTCCAAGCATAGGTCCTAACTTCGACAGCAGGGCATCAAGACTTTGTTTGGGCTTTTCCTTGAGGTCCCTGACACGTGGCGACCGGACTTGGCATTTCCAGGAGCCTCAGGCAATTTAGATAGGGACTGTCAAGCAGCTAAATAGGTGCATCTGTGAAAATGTGGATGATAGGATAGTCACAATGACAATAACAACAATACTCAGATATGGTCAATAACAGCAAGAGGGACAATCAACATGATGATGATAAGGACAAGTTCTAGACTTCTTTGACATGTTGGATTTCTGCCTCCGACCAGGTTTTGCGCCAGCTGCGTGATAGGCGCTCTCCAGATGGGTAGCTATTGTGACTTAGAGTCTAAGGTTTAGGATTAGGAGTTTTGAAAAGGATCGCAAGAAAAATCATGAGAGAGCCTATACACGGGCTTGGGCTGGATCTTGTCCTTGTTTCTGCCCATACATTTGTGTCGGTGTTTCTTTCGCCTTCCTACGGCATGAGCTGTGTTTTCATGGCAGGGTTCGCGCTATCCAAAACGGAGAGGCCAAAGATCCGCAGCGAGCTTAGTAGCAGAAGGTGCTAGTTACATTGCGGCTCCACCGCATGTTAGCGCTGAATCCTAGGATGACGGTGCTGTTACAAGCCTTAAGCCTTGTCACTCCAGAAGCCACTGCTCAGTCACAACTGGATGCGAAGTGTGCAGCTCGAAGACGCCCGGCTCTCAAAATCCGTTTTGATGTCCTATTGCCGTGTGGTCATGCATTTCAAGATCACAGCCGGCTGTGTTTACAGAGTCTCTTGATTTGTTGGGGACTGTTTCGAAGTTTTGTGAGGCGCCGCCGCAGTCCTTCCTCAGTGTGTACCCAGGCCGCCAGCCAACCGAGGATATAGAAAGTTTGCATTCGATCCTTTTTCTCAACATCGGATGGGAATCGCTTCCAGGTCAGGTCGTATTTACTACCCTGAACAACCTACTCGTAGCTACCTAGCTCCATGGAGGTCTCTGACCGGCATCCTGGGGTTCGCTCTTTGTGGGGGCGAGGTACCCTGAAATTGAAATGATTTGCACGCCTTTTGTTCCGGGCTTCTGAGAAGCCGCCAGAAAGATGTTGCAGTAGAGAGTGCGGCATCTTGATAGTGGGAAAGGTGGATGGATGATTGGTCCATCGCCAAAAGATTCCCAGAGGCTAAGACCTCACCAGTTATTGCTGGGTAGTCAAACGCCTCTGTTACCTGCGTTTGCGGCTCATGGCCCAGCTGGATGACAGTTCACCTGCTTTTACTGGTGGTCACGGGCTTATGCTGCGCGTTTGTTTGTGGCTCCCGCAAGTGCAGATGGGAAAAAAGGCGTGCCGTCACGTTGTTTTGCTTTGTCTTTGGCGTGGAATTCCGATCACAGAAGCTACCACAGGCTAGGCAATGTTAAGTTCTGCTTGTTCAGGTAATAGGAGATCAAGACTAGGCATGCATTAGAGGGGAGTGGTAGCGGTCGGATGGTTTGCTCGTAGGAATCAGCATCTGAAGGATTTGTGGTTCGTCACAGTCCTCATACGCATGGGCCATAGGCGTTGTGACCAGCATCAGAAGCATGTTTCCGCCATCATTGTCGTTGCCACTATCATCAGCAGCGGCATCAGCATCAGTAGCAGCAGTACTAGTGTTGCAGCTCGTTGCCGTCATCACGTTTATTAACTTCAATTCCTTTCAATTTTCATCATTCGTCGCCGTTAAGCATTGCCATCAGAATCTTTCATCAGCATTATCGCCACCTTGATCGCTGTGATTGCAGTGTTTGGTGCGCGATCCTGGTGTTCATCTTTGTTTTTGCCTTCAGCGCCGCCTCCGCCGTGAAGGGCGGGGTCGGGAAGGGGTTGGGGGGGAGGGGTTCGTGGACCAGCTCCATGAACGGCGGGAGGCCAGAAACCTGCAAATTTCTGACGGATGTGTCCTGGAATGGAGTTCTTAGATCTAAACGCTCTAGGCCATCATCACCAGAAAAAGTCATGCTGCAGCCAAGTGCATTGATGCTTTGCTCCAGCCATAATCCAGACCTTGCGGTTCTGTGTTAGCTGCGTGTCGTTGGTATTAGCTATCAGCCACTTGCTCTATCAATGAGCTGGAAGCCATGACTCAGCATTATTTGGCGTTCGCTTGCGGACCCGCAAGGTTGATTCGTTGGCGGGTAATCCCGGTACAAAGCTTCCGTAAAGGCTTTATGCTCTGCAGTAAGAGGCTATTTCTCAAAATATCCCTGATAGAATACAATCAATACCCCTTCAATCTCATTATAATCCATATATATATATAAAACCGTGGGGTCCCTGCGGCCCCGCTTGTTGAGAAACTCCGAAGAGGAGGATGCTCTTTCTGCCTCGGCTTGCCTAAGGCTCGACCCCGAGCTGATTGCTGGCGCTCATAGAATTCCTTTAAGCTTTCCATCTTGTGGAAACGACGGCTTTCCGGAAATACAGTTACTATTCTTACCACGAACAAGAGAGCATCAACCATTGTTTGCCTGTAGTATCTGCCATGTCGCTGTTTGCGGCAAGCACGGGCCTCAATCTCTGGCTCTGTTTCAATGCAGCTGTATGAACATGTGGTGGTTGATTCTTTGTCTGCGTGCCCAGCCGCACACAAGGCTTCGATACGCTGAAGAAGCGGACCACGCAGCTGCTTGATAATCTGGACAAGCAGAAGGAATCACAGGGGCACTGCTGCAACATGCTATGAAGATTGCAGCGATTTGTCGTGGCTTGTTGTACAGTGCCAGGATGACAAGAATGGTCCTGAGATGCAGGCGCAGTTTCTGGCTTCTTGTAGATTTCCAGCGACTCACGCTTAGTGGTGTTAGTCTCCCTGAAATGGCCACTACGCAACACTCCAGGCAGCCCGCGGCATTCTCAGTAGCATAGTTCCAGGAAGCATGAAATCGTTATGCTCAAGCCGAGACCATCTCTGCTCACCTCTGGTTCATCATGAAGCGTGCAATGAGAGTAGTAACTGCTGTTGCAGCAGGATTCTGGGATCGACATTCCGTTTCCTCAGGCGCGTGCAGAATCCTTCATCATAAATCCTTTCAGACAGATTGATGCGAACGCATGCTGGTATGAGCAGCTGCCAACTTTCTCCATATGAGCCATAAATTAAGATCCTTAAAGAGGGTTACTTAAGGCAGTATACAGGGAACTACAATAGGCACAATAGGGATTATAAGATACTAGGAGTTTGCATTATGGCTCATGCGAGCAAGCCCAATCCTATTCCCGGCAAGGTGGCTGCCGCCATGGGTTGTCGCGAGGACAGTATCCTTGTGAGCTACGAGGCTTGGGGCTTGTTCCGACGCGACAGACAAACACCATGTGCCAGTATCATCAATGTTGGAACTATAGAGCGCATAAGTAATGATTGCTATGCTGGTGTGCGTCCTGTACTTAGTGCGAAACTCGTATCCCTTTTGGTTTGCGTTGCCTTTGCACCAGGTCCAGAACGACGAAAAGGATCGCGAGGTGGCCCTGTATGCGATGCCGCTGGGAAGATCTGGCTGAGTTACGCGGCTTCCAGGCTTCACTTAGGATTAATCTGCTAGACCTGACAACTTGCCAGGTGGTGCAGTCAGCGTCACAGCATCCATGGTGCGCCGCCTATTGTCCCTGAGCAGGGTAGCCTCATCTAGCCTCACAGCTCCAGCACCGTCTATGACAAGCATGACAAAGGCTCACATTCACAGAGCTGTTTGCCTGTGCAGGTGAGGGCCTCTTTCCCTTTGCCTGGCAACTACCATCTCAGGTTCAAGGCTTCAGCAGTCGGGCTTAGACCCTGAGCTATAAATGGCTAGCTACTAGCGGCAGGCCCCAACATCTGACGGATCCTTCGGCGGATGGGTCTGGATAGATCTGGCCGATGCCTCAAGTTTAGTCTGACCCGTTTTTTCCGGATCATTTGCTTCTTTCAATCAGGCCTCCGACCAAGACCTTGTACCGGTATTCAACGGTGGGATTGCGATGAAGGTCCTGTGGGGCTTGGAGATCTAAAGGGTCGATGAGAAAGCTCCTGTCAGGCTTTGCGATTGCCGACAGACAGCAGCCCAAGTCGAGCAGCGGCCCCGGTGCGTCACGCGGCACAGCTGTTTGCAGTGGCCCTACTAGCCAGCGCACGTACACCTACTGGCCTCACGTGAAACTACCCACGAGCTGTAGATCAGCAGCTTTTGACCACAAGCTCTCAGCAAATGGGCAGACTGGCCATGGCCGGAACATTGTGCGGCAATCTCTCCCTGTCAAGAGAAGCACGCTCCCACCTGTTGATATAAGAGGCTTGTTGTTTCTCCAGATTTTATTTTACATATGCATGCGCATTTTTGGCGCTCAAGGAGCGTAGCACTTGTGCTTTTTTCGGGACTGTCCTGTCCCGGGATGTAAGCCTTGCCGCCAGCTTAGGTGAACCGAGAATGGGATGGTAGTTCTGTTGCCACAGAAAAAGCCAACTGCAGCAGAAAACGACTAAAAAGCCAGTAGCAACCAATAGAAGTTAAACAACCAAACCAGCAGAAAACAATAGAACGCACACAAAAGCAACAACCAACTAGAAGATCACTGCCTGCCAGAAGAAAGCCACTAAACTCAGTAAACAACCCAATAGAAACTAATTCAAAACCAGAAAAGTTCGCCAATGAGCACCAAAGTGAAATCGATGAAGAACAACAACATCGAATAGAAACCCAAAATGCAAACTGCAACCTCCTTTCTGCAGAGTTTACAACCACAAAAAATCGGTGCCTAAAAGTGAATTTCTAATTCTTGGGGAATCTGAGTTGAGTTTTTTCGTACTCCTGTATATAGCCCTTCAAAACCACAAATATCGAGGGAAACGTACGCTCACATTCGCACAAGAACAATAAGAATCAATATCAAGCCCGACATCCTCAATTATTGGGAAATGTCAGGTGAAGTTCTTTATGCACAAGAAGTATGAAAACAATACCCGAAACAATGAATATCGAGGTTAAGAAGTACATCCCTACTTACCAGGAAATTTGAGGTGAGGTGATTTCGTATAGATTGCTTTGTGAGAATCCTACAACAGCATGTAGAATCCACGCACAGAAGAGGATCCTCGACTTTTGGAAGTATACGCTCGGATTCCTTGTTAAATGACTTTGTATTATGAACGCCTACAAAGCACAGGCGCAGAGGAAATCACTCAGCGCTGAGAATCTGCGAGGATTACCGCAGGAGATTCAGACGAGAGTGTCAGGCGGAGGATCTCCAGCGCGAGACTCAGAGCTGGTCATGGCTTCTGGGATCAGCTAGCGGTCACTAGGCGAGCCAAGCGCGCGGAGCGCTTAGAGAGCTAGACGCGCCCCGCGCCGCGGATGCAGATTCAGAGGAGATTCTTTGGCAATGAAATATCGGAGGATTTCCAGAGGAGACTCAGAGGAGGTTCTCCAGCTCGTGGAAGATCTCCAGAGGCGACCCAGAAGAGACCCCTATGGCTTCAAAGGATAACGAGAGGAGACGCAAGGTGGTCATTGGCGATTGGGGTCAGCTTGGGAACCCTAAACTGCAAGCCTTCTTCCTACTGGGGGTATCACGGGTATCACTGCTAGCGCACTCAAGGAAAGGCCCGCCTTCCTGCAAACTCTACAGTTAACAATTGGGAAGCAAAGAAAACCCTAAGCATGGTTTTTCTGAAGCCGGGCTACAGCAATGCTCCAAACAGCAGTAAAAAAGAAAATCTAGAAAACCGATGTGACGCCAAATTCCAACATAATTTCCTGCCTGCTTGTAAGCATGTAAAAGCCGAAGACAACATTAGGACATCGTGTTGGTGGAATCTTGAAAGTCATGCGAAGTAATTAACGTTCAGAACATCTTAAAAACCTGTAACTATGCGCATGTTCATGAGGATCTCCAGATCAGCTTCTCTTTACAAACCTGGAAAAGTTAAAGATCAAGAAAACAGGGCAACCCTGACTCGCTTTCATGAAAATTATGAGCATCCAGGAAATAATTAACTCTTGAGGTTTTTGTATGTAAAATTCCTCTTAAAAGCATATCAAACATTGAGCATTCAGGAAATCCAGGGTGCCCAAATCCTTTTTTCAAACCTTGGAAAATCAGGAGATCCACGACACCAAGGGAATCCATGATTCTAACTGGATTTACTGTCAATTTTTCATGCAAATTCTTTTCTGATACCGCATAAAAAGACCCGAGGAAATCAAGGACATCCCTAATTTGAGCGTCTTTCATGTAAGCTCCTGCCTAACATCCCTAAAAAACACAAGAAACACCCAAGAAACTACTGAAGTCCTTTTCTAATTGCTTTGAGATTCTTCCATCTCAGTTTGCTCAGACACACCGTATGAAAACAACAAAGACTTAGGAGATCAAAGAAATCCCTACTTCGACTTGAGCACGGGATATTCATTGAGCAGTTTGTGAGTTAGTTGATGTGGATAGAAGATGTAATCTGAACACCCAGACAGCCCCCTCATGACAAGAATCTTCTCTAGTAAATATGTTTTTTTTGAGGAACAGCTGAATTTCCATTTTTTATTTGGATGGCTGCTTTCTCGACGTTGGTCCTCTGTGTGGTGCGGGCGTGCCCTGTGAGCTTGCGCAGCGTACCAAAGACTGTTCTTATTTAGGGTCTTATTGAAGGTCCGGGCTTTCACTTGAGGATTTAAAGTGCAGTTGGCATTCAGGATTTTAGTTTTATCATGGGGAGCTAGGGGGGTTCGGGGGTGTGGGGGGGGCATAAGGACACATATGCCCTCATTTAGGCCTTTGATATAGTCCTTGTTTGAGGCTGAAAAAAAGTGTAAACGTGCGAAATCTGCGATGACGCCGACCCTCAAAATTACTGCGCCTGTCGCACTTTCAGGCAGAATTTCCCGGCAGATATATACATATTTTTTATTTAATTTTCTTGCCGGGCCAATTATACTGATGCTGCCTTGCCCCGAATATAGGAACATCCAAATTCTTCGTTTCGTTCGTCCAAGGATCGTTCCCAGTAGTCCAAGCCACGCCCCATTCGTCCAAGCTCCGCCACATTAGTCCAAGGGTCGTTCCTATTAGTCCAAGAATCGACGTTCCCAGAAGCCCAAGCCACGCCCCATTAGTCCAAGCGTGTGAGGAGTTCAGATTCAATGTTATCATCATCATCATCATCATCATCATCATCGCCCCATTAGTCCTGCACTTGCAGAACCCAATATTTGGATGCCAACTTCCAAACCCAGCTGCTCTCACGCATGTGTCGCTGTGAGTGCTTGGAAATCTTGTTAGAACTTGGCCTCTTGGCATCTTCGCACTTCGCTCTCAAGTTGTCGGAGTTCCGCGGGTGAAATATTGAGAGAGTCAGCTTGGGCTTGCCCAAGCAATGCAGCACGGCCAAGGTGGTTTTGTTCCTTGGTCATCGGTCCCACAGTAGCACTGACCTCGCAGGCTCCTTCTCAAGCATCGAGAAGTCGGCCAGCGACTTCGGCTCAGGCCCAGCTTTAGGCAACATGCAACCCAATCTGCCAGTTTTTGCTACTTCAGGGTGCCTCCCCACACGGCGTTTCGGGCATTGCGGGAGATCTGATGGAGCTCGATCTCTCGAAAGCACCGCGATCAGCGGAAGCACAAGCACCACGACCACCGGCTGGGCTCCAAGCCATTTGTATCATAAAACAGGATTGAGCTCGGCTGAAGCGCACGAGGTGCAGCTGGATCGGGCAAAATTAGCAGTTGCCTGAGCTCCTGCCCTTTTTTCCCTGCCTGCCCGTCCGGTGCAACAGGTCGCGGAACGACAAGCGAGGGAAAAGCGCGAGTACGAGGAGAAAATCAAGAGGCGGCGCATCCTGCACGGGCGGATTTCACCCGGCTCCTACCCCGCTAACACAACACTTGCTGTGTTCTGGAAGCGTGTTGAAGCGTGTTGAACTTTTTGCAGGCATGAAGAGCAGAAGAAGAGCTTCCCAACGGCAGAAGTGCTGCTCCACCTTGCTCCACCATCCTCTTAGGTTGCAATTGACCGAATCTAATGTCTACAGCCCTTTAAAAGACGGGAATGGAGTGCAGCTGGCCTGCGTAAACGATCTGCGATCTTTACAACTTCGGATCGGCAAGCTGATGTAATCTGCTATCCTCTGGAAGCCGCTGGAATGCCAAAGTGCCAAGTGAAAGGAATATACAACGTGAGGGCTCCCCTGGATGGGCTAGTCTTCTAAGGATGCTGCTCTGGGAAGCTCGCTCCTGCCTCATTCTGCAAGCCGAGGGGATGCCCAATCCAAGAAGGAGAAGCTGGAGCTGAATGATGTCCTCTCCAAGGAGCTGAACGATTGGGCCTGGAGCTCTGAGGTGAATGGGGGAAGCCATGAAATTCCATTCACGAAGGAGAACTTGAAAGACACGCTTAGGCAAAGACGCCCGACGGTCAGTCCTACAAGGAGATCAGGAGCCCTCTCAAGCGCCGCTCGCTGCATGCAAATGGCCGGAGTTATATGGGCTCCCTTGTAGGACTCTGCTCAGCACGATGCACACTGTGACGTGGGAGGGTGCAAGTGTCCAGCTTAGTGCAAGGCTACGTGTGTGTTTTGTAGCAAAGGTCTGGGATCGCACATGGGCAGGGTTCTGCGATAATTGGTGACATGGTGCAACTTTGCCAGAAGTTGGATGCTTATCGCCCAGGTTGGCAGCCTTTGAATTTGTCCGAGTGGACCCTGACGCGGTTTCGGAGTGACTGCTGTTCTGTGAGCAGCGGCCGCCCAGATTCTCAGATATCCGATGCTCTTGACAGGTTGGTGGCAGACAGCAGCATCAAAAAGAACTACCGCAAAGCCATTCTTATGGTCTCAGAGCTCAGTCTGTTGTTTTGTTTCTGTTGGTTCAGCGCGCATCTCTTTGGAGCACATAGCCCGCAGCATGCAGCTATGGCAAAGGCCCATCCGGACCGACATCAGTCTGCCAGCTTCGCAGAATCGGCACGTTTTCTGACTTTTTTTTGCAGAGGGTTGTTTCAGGCCAGCTCCGAGCAGCAAGTGCGGGCGGATCGCATCTTCAATGCCGGATGCCCAGCTATACCAACCTGGTGACTGATGGAGCCGACCGGAGCCTGATACTAAAACACAACACCAGACACGTGGACATAAATTACTGGCACTTGGTCAGAACTTCGAAGATACAGGGTCGCTTGGCATAGGAGTTAGCAGTCTCAACAATCCCGCGACATTGAATTACCAGGTACTTAGAGACTCCGAGCTCACGTATCAGCTGTTCGGATTCACAAGCATGAAGTCCAGCGCAAGCAGGCTCTGAACGAATCCTTCAAATCCTTCTCCAGCTCCAGCTGACCTGCACAAAAAGGTTCGCCAACACCGACAGCACTGCTGTACATTCTCACTGTACGTTGGCAGAGTCATGGCCATGGCCAGAGCTTGAGGCTTTATTGCTGCAAAATCTTGGCTCAAGCGGAATTCCGCCACCATCAAAGACCCGCAAATTTGGAAGGCCAGCAGTTGCAAACCGCAAGCTGATTACTTGGACACCGTGTGCTGCATCCTCCTTCTTTCCAGGAGATAGAAGCAGGCCAACCATGGACATTGACCTCCTCAATCCCGACATCAAGGAGGTACGGGAACTATGCCAACCGAATGTAGAGACCTGACACGTCGCCAAGTGTAGAGACCTGACTCACCGCCAGCGGGCATTGTTTTCAAAGGAGCGGTCCAAGCACAAGCTGAAGCGTATGATCCAGTCTCCGACTTCGGCCGCAGAAGTTAGAGTATGCCGGTGCTGTCTGTATTGCACTGCTGTCAGATGCCCCTGTTTGCTGCTGCCAGTCTGGGCCTCAAGGAACAGCTTCTTCATGGACGTCAAGTGCCCTGGCTGCTTGCAGATCACGACTGTGGCTTGGCAGCATACACACACTTTGAACTGCGGCCAAATTCATTCCTGGTTGTCTCGTTGTTGTCGAATTTAACAACATGGCTTTGTCGGAACCACTCGCATCAGCCATCACTGTTGCGAACGAACTTTTCAAAGTCAACACAGAAAGCATGCTCAAACAGAGACCCCCGTAATCCGCTGACCAGGTCTTCAGCCATGCTCAGACTGTGGTGCTTTGCGGCAACTGCAACGTGATGTAACTGGGTGAGCAGCAAGCGCACAACAAGGGAGCCAGGAGAACGACAGTACACGACTTAAGAAGTCTTGAGATTTAAGGCTTTGCCAGCCGACGGGCGGTCTGGCCCGACTCACAGAGCCTTGGCAAATGTGTTTCCTAGGACCTGAGACCTAGCAGATCTAGCAGCCACAGCACAGCAGCGTTCATACCCTCAGCATGTAACGCATGAGAGAAGTGCTGAGACTGACAACGACACAATCATAAAGAACTGCGAATGCCGATCCAAACCAGGAGGGCTGCTCTTTTCGAAAGAAGGCGGACTGAGTGGAGCTTTGGGCGGTTCATGTGATGTGGGAGACGATGGTGCAGAAAAAGGTGGCATTTGCCCAACATTAGTGAATTTTTCGTCCTGGGGATGAATCTGTGTTGCTAAGTCATGCAGTATGCAAGGAAGTTGCTGTAGTCATTGCTATTGTCTCGATGCAAGCTTTTCGCCCTGAATCAGGCCGTGCCCAGAATAAAGGCATTACATATTCGAAATCTGGAATCTCAGATCAAAAATCCATTGAACCGCTGCAATCCTGGAAAAATGTGTAGGGCTCTTGAGATGGAAGAGTGGTGAGCGGTTTAGGCGTCGAGGCAAGTGAAAGGCAAAACATGCACCGTTGCGGAAGTGTCGTGGAGGGACTATGGTTGCGGCTGATGAACTTCAGAGTATTTGGACCCGACCTTGCCAGAAGCGGACTGCTTGATAATTGTCAACTCCAGCGCGCATCATCCACCTCGGCGCCCGAGCTTGCAAGATAACACCTGCCATAGCTAGGTATTGAGGAGGCAGTGGGGTCGTGGGGCATTCAAAAAAACTGCTTTGCAAAGCTTGTTTTGCTTGACAAAGCTTGTTTTGCATTATGCGTAGGGAACCATGTGGTGGGGAAAGCGGTCGCTTAGCCAACAAAAATCAGGGTCGCTTAGCAAACGTTTTTTGGGGTCGCTTTGACACGTATTTTTATGCCCGCTGCTCTGCGCCAAGTGATTCCTTCAGCCGTCTCAGCTTTCCACCTGACTCTGATTTAGTAGCCGGAGGCATCTGCGGGCATGTAGTGTTGGGGTCCGTGTTACATGTCCATATTGCGTTGCGACAGCCAACACGGGGTCTCAGGCTTTACAGGTCAGGCTTGAAGCTGGGCTGCCAGCGCAAGCAATGGCAGCGCCAGGGGAGCGAGGGCTGCTGTTCGGGGGAGCTCAGCGAGGGGCAGCACATAAGATATCCACTTTGCGATGGTTCCACAAAGTTCGGGTAACCCCTGCCCCCTTCGTCAACCCCCCCTTCCCCAGCCTTGCATTCCGATCATGATCGTCATTAGCACTCTCACTGCTAGTATCATGGGTATTGTTATTCGGATGCTCTCATCATCGAGTGCATCCGAACACGAACGGAAGTATCCCTTGGGCATGGATGCTCTGGTAACCGTATGCTCTTGAAACACGAACGTTATTATGGTTTGGACATGGATGCTCTCAACATATCAAGTGCACTCGAACACGAACGTTATCATGGCTTGGGCATGGATGCGCTTATTATCGAGTGCACTTGAAGACGATCGTTATTATGGTTTGGGCATGGATGCTTTCATCATGGAGTGCACTCGAAGATGATCGTTGTTATGGTTTGGGCATAGATGCTCTCAAGATGGGGTGCACTCGAATACGAACGGAAATATCGCTTGGGCATGGATGCTGGTATCATCGGGCGCACTCGACCATGAATGTTATTATGGTTTGGCCATGGATGCTCTGAACACGAACGGAAGTATCGCTTAAACCCAAAACTCCCAAAGCCTAAACCCTCAACCCAGAATCGTCCAGGAACCTTGAATCCCAAAACCCTCTTGGACTCTAGATCCCAAATCACTAAAGCATAACTCCAAAACCGCAAACCCTAACCCTAAATCTAACAAAACGGGTCAGCCTAGGCGTGCGCCTTCTATGCGTATGGCCTTTTTTTTTGAAAATTCTCCTACAACCATAAGGAATCATGAGAAAGTATTTAAAAAAAGATCAATAAATAATCAAAATTATATTAAAATACATCAAAAACCAAATAGACAAAAAAACACAAATATACTAGAAAAATCAAAAATGCAAAAAAAAATCTGAAAAGAGCTATAAAAAAAAAGAACAAAAAATTTTTCATGATATTCCGAAATATTTGGCGTGTTTTGTAGGACTATCGGTTCTTTTATATTTTAAACATTTTTTGATATATCTCAATATTACGGCGCGGCCACTTGCGTCTATTTCGACCGCGCGCGATCGCTGCCCCACCAACCAGCGGGACCGCCCAAACGAAACCGCCCCACTGGAGCACTAGTGGTCAGGACACCCGGCATACCTCGGGCAATTGACCAGATTTTCCGAAATTGGTGGTCGGGACACAGGGACACCTATCGGGATACCATCGGGACACCACCGGGACACCGCCAGGATCCCACCTAGAAAACCGGGATACTGCTGGGACACGAAGATGAAAGCACAATCACAGATTTTCCGAAAATTGTGTTCGGGGCACCAAGAGGAAAGTAGACTAGAATACCGACTGGCTATAATCGTAGATTTTCCTTAAACGGAAGCAAGCACGAACGTGGCTATTGGGGAACAAAATACGCTATGTAATGCTTTCCTGGAGAATGGGGCTGAGCAGGAGTAACAACCAATTCTGTAAACACATCATGGCAGCTCAGGAGACGGGTTTTAGCAAGCTTCTTGGGGGCCGAAGCAACATCCGAAACAACCTCCCCCAATCCCGGCACCACCACCGGGCGGAACACCACCGGCATACTACCAGTACAGCAGCGGGACAACACCGGCATACGACCTGGATATCAATACTATTTGGACGCCGCTACGACACTGGGGCACCACCCGGACATCACCGAGACCCCGCTAGGACCCCACCAGGACACCACTGGAATACCACTAGAACACTACTGCGATGCCCGAGGGACACTATCATACCGCCGGGACACCACTTGAATTCTACCGGGAGACGATTGACATACGGAGACGCTACTACGACCCCGGGATACCAGCGAGACTCCCCCCTCACTAGGACACCAACGCAACGAACGATTACCGGACTACTACTAAGACACCATCGAGGCACCATAAGATTACCGGGATACTAAGAGGAAAATGGCTTGGGACACCGACCGCCCTAAAATCGCAGGTTGCCTAAAATTGGCCGTAAGAACGAATGCGAATCGAATAAGAAGTAGATCTTAAAATTGCGGGCTATTGAATAAATATATTAAAGTATATTGATTTATTTGATAGATATTGATATATATTTATATATATATCTTATGATAAAAATTATAATTTCTATATAGCTATTAGCTTACTATAAGCTTATAATTTAGGATAGATATAGAGATATGCCATCTTTGTTTCATAAATTTCGACTTATTGGATTATTCTTCAAGTAGAAGTGCATATATATATCTTGCGGAGTCGCGGAGGTCTCTAATGTATTATTTTCTGTGGCCCTGGTAATGGAATAATATTTATAATTATTTAAAGCTCTGGAGGAGGTTGTAGGACGCTAGTATAGGAGTCTAGGAGAAAAGAGGGAGGCGAATTTCGAGCAGATATATAAATCTTCTTGCAAATATTTCTGCGAATCGAATTCTTTTAAGTAACATAACGATGATTTGGGGAATTAGATGTAAAAGGAGTGCCAGGCGAAGCAAAAAGCTATTTGACGTCAAAATCTTCAGAAAAAAAATTGGCAGGCGGGTTTGGGCGGCAAGAGGCTTTTATAAATCGAATTTCAGGACGAGGAAAAAGCTATTTGGCATCTAAATCCTCTGGGGAAAAAAGGATTTGGCAAACGGATTTGGGCGGCAAGAATCAACTATAAAAAAGATTATCTGGTCAAAGAAGAAATTGCTTGATATCTAAAGCTTCTAGAAAAAAATCGTTCGAGGATATGAAATTCGATCCTAAAAATATCAATTTTATATCAAATAATAAAAATTTAAAGATTTAATGATGATATTCTAATATAGAATGCATTAAGAATGACGAGAAATCTATTCTCCAATAAATCGATATTATAGAGATTGGAGATTACATCGAAATTTATTTCTTTATATACGCTAGAAATAAGTCGCTGTTTACGGCAGCCCACGATGACCAGCTGATAGACCCGGCATACGGCGGCTCGCGACAATATCAGAAAATGATATCCCCCTGCAGGACAGGTCCCTCCGAACTAGAGAAATTTCTTATATAGAAGGATCTCAAGCCTTCCCTCGCAGAACATGGCTCATCATCCCTCATAGCAGGATCCTAGTCCTGCCGCAAGAGAGGAGGTCGCAAATAAATATTTTTGAGATTAAGGGAAGATTTGAGCTAAACCAATTATGGTCTCTATCTATCTCTATTTCTTCTGCAAATTATGCAGGACCTGGATCCTGCCGGGGCAATTATCTATCTCTATCTATAGATCTATCTATCTATCCGTCTATCTATCTCTGATTATCTATCTCTATTTCTCTATCTGATTATCTAATTGGATCCGGAATCCATATCCAGAATTCTCTCAATAATCGGAGTGGCAGATCTAGAATATACGAAAGATCCGGATCCATTCTTTGGCATTATCTCTATTCTCGATTCTCTTATATATTGATAGAAACTAAAATAATTCTTGGATAAGATATATGAAATAGGAAAAATTCTAATCAATAAATGAGAAATTATAATATCTTATGAAAGATAATAATTTGCCAAAGATATGATTATCTCAAGATTTTCTGAGAACGTCAAAATCTTGGAAAATCGGAAATATAAGATCCGTGAACGGAATCTCAATTCCGAAAATTTCAATTATTTAAAGATCATATAAAAGATCATCGAAGAAATATCGGATGATATCAAGAAAATGAGAAATAAAATCTAGATATCTCTCAATAAAATGACGCGTCCATTTGCGGTTACGTCGCTCGTATAGGGCCTAGTTTTTCCGGCTCTCCTCTAAAACGCCTCCTGCAGGCCGCCCAGGACCTCTAAAATTCCCGAGATTATAAAGCCTTTCAGAAAAGTTTCAGGCTCTAAAGCGGGTCCGGGTGGGGCAAGCAAAAATATCGAATATTTTTCGTCGCGCGGTCCTCCCCCCGATTTTTCCGCTTCATTTATCTCTCTTTGGCTATCTGCGCGGCGGGGTCGTTGGCGTAGGGAGCGCTCCCCACTCTTCTGGAATTCGTAAATTTCCGACGGTCAATCAGTCAGGGTGCCGGTCTGTCAATCTCTCCGTATTTCGG